GCGCGGGGGAAGCTGCGGGCCGGGTGGGGAGAGCCCGTGCCGGAACGCCCGGCGACTCCCCAGCTGCCTCCCCCGCGCCCCGGAATCTCCAGCCCCGACGACGCGCCCGCCCCTCAAGCAGGCCGGCCTCCAGCAGTCGCCGCGGCCCGCACAGGTGCACCCGGCCCGGCCTCGGTCCTGCACTCCCGCTCGGACTCGCGGCCCGCCTTTCCGGACCTGCTTTTCCCGGACCTCCTCTAACTTCCCTTGGGACTGCCCCCTTCCTTCTCCATCCCACACTGGACCCCCCGTTTTCCATCTCCGCACCAACCCACGACTTCACAACGAGCCCCATCCCCCACTCCTAGGCCGACGCCACAAGGCAGTTCACACCAAGCCCTGGCCTTTGTCTTCTGCTTACCTAGGCGCTTGGAGCATCAATTACTACGACAAAGTTTGAGGCCTTTAAGCCTCTTCTACCTTCTAAACGGTGCCTTCTATTTTTATAACCTTTCCAGCTCCGATCATGTAAAGCCCTAAAGGGCTATGTTGCAACTTAAAAATCCCACCGAGGCAGCACAGTAGTAAAAAACTAACACACACACACATTCTAAAAGCAATCTAAATCACAATGGATGCTGTTCTCTTTCCAAAAGCTTTCTGAGGGTAGGAAGACAGGCTGGCTGGATGCGATGGGGAATAGGTTTGGTAAGGCATTCTTTTTTCCATGTGTAAGTAGAGAAATTAAGGGTGGTGACTGGGGCAGTTCGTGAAATCTTCCTATTGGAGGACATTTCCTGTCCCCTACAAATCTGGTCAATTTTAGAAAGGGGTTTGCTCACAATCTCTACTGACATCTACTTATCTGTGTTCTGCTCAATTCTGTTGCTACCAATACGAAGCATTTCAGTGCTGGGAAATACGCAGCCCTGCAGTTTGCCTCATTATTGTATGTTAGACTAAAACTTTGGAACCCGAATTTCCTGATTCTTTACCTGCATCTATTAGAATGACTGCATGTTAAGACCTATGTACATAGGCAAAAATATCCTCCCCCTGAGCACAACCTGTATAAAAATACATAGTGACTTCACTTCTCCTTGCTAACCCAACCTCTACTATAAAATGTTCCCTGAAAAGGCAGTTGCTTCTTTAATACCTAAAAAGTGTAATACGAGACAGCTTTATCCACTTCATCTATACAACAAACACTTGCACCATTTCCACAGTGCTGGCAAAAGATTCGTAAGAGTAACTAATATATCATAGAGTAATTCTTGTCCAGATCACTCTCAATGGGGGCTTTCCTCTACCCGTGGACTAGAAACCACTTTCCAATATGCAGTTAGGTAACCTTCTGTCTGCCAATGCAGACTTCTTTTTCATTCTATCTCCTGGTATCCGTGCCCCTTCCAATTCTATGGGCAACACCTACTTTCCAAATCAATACATTTCACAGAGCAGCTTCTATAGGGTACCACTAACATCAATTTTCCCCTTCTTCTTTCCTGGATCTGTCCCTCTCCATTTTTCACCTTTACTATTAACTTTAGCTCTGCTTTAACACGAACAGCCACTCTTTCAGCAAGATATCCAGGGAGCTAAAACTGTTAACTTTATAGGTAAAATTACTATTTGTAGCTTCCCATCTTTTATTTTTTTACACCTATCATCTCTTTCCCAGGCATTTCCAAAGAAGTTTTTAACTTCCTTAGCGTAAATGGACAAATTGTGTCTGATGAAAAGTCCCCCTCTGTAATTTGCTGGCATAAAGCAAACTATTTTATATTTGACGCCTGTGTCTTCACCCCTAAATATATTTACGTACACCAGGGATCTCCAGCAAAATATAAAAATACAAATGACCCAAAGCAAAATCCTGCCTTAGTCAGGTAGGGCCAAAAGCTGACCCAGCATGCATGAGGGAGCCCAGACGAGACAGATTAAGGGAGGCTCCATCCAAAGTGGGCAGAGAGATGCCAGATTCTGGGAGAACCAGCACAGGGATAACCAGTGAGGGCCGTTAGGACTCCTGGGAAGCTGAGATGCAATCAAACCAACCCTCTGAAAATGAGAACAATCTTGTACAGGCATCTTGCCACTTAACTCTAGACCTCTACACTATTTAAAATAAGCTAAAGTCACTCCTTCATCCGCCCACAGTTAGGTCACCAAAGCACTTTACCAACTTTTCAAATTTCAAGTCAGCAAGAATGACAGAAAAGACTTCCAAACTCCTAATTCCAGGCTCACTACTCAGTGGAAGAGCTCTAAATCCTCATATTCCATTTTATTTTACACTTTTTTAAGAAAGATATGCCTCTCTAACCCACCATTTGGATTCCTTACTGTTTTTCTGGTTTGCCACTTCAAAGTTTAATGACTGTCCATCCACCTTAGAGCAGGAGGATTTATGAAAGGGTACTGGGGGGGGGACGACCCAGGAATCTGCTATAGATTATTTTAAGGGTCATGGTGATCAGAGGATATTACTGAAGAATGATGGAGATAAAAAGTAGCTTCTTCCAGAGACATATGAGGAGAAGAATAAAGAAAAAGAGCCACTGCTTAAATTCAACTTGAAAAAAATAACACTAGTATAGCATAAGAGAAGAGGAAATAGCATGAAAAAGTGAGTGTCCCTGAAATTTGGTAAATTGAAGCTCTTGAAGAAAACAAAAAAGAATCTCCAAAACAACCTAGATTAACCATTTTACATCATTTATTGATTCATTTGCCTCAACTCTCCAAATCAGAAAAATCTCTTTAAAGGCCATCCGAAAACATCTGTCTCCACCTACTAAATTTTTTACCTCCCTAGTATGAGTTATTCCTTATGCAATTTGTGGAGAAAGCTCTGTTCAAAAAAGATGTATGTGCAACAGGTGAGGAGGAAGTCAGATGGTAACAGCATTCATTTTGATCGAGTTGTCTGGGCAGGCATTAGTAATTAAGTGGGATGACAGCCTTGGGGAGGGTCACAGATTAGTGATTAATAGGACAAGTAATTTGAAATCAGATTTGGGGGTCACTGATAAAAGTAATGAGGATTTTTACAAACTTCAGCAAGAAATGGGAAGAGGCAAGCCACAACGACAGCTTGTGGGCAATGATTAAAAGAAAACAACACAAGAAGCAATAGAAAAAAACAGTTAGGGCTTCCAAGCCCCTTTTTTCATTTTTAAGAACACATAAACCTTGAGGAGCACTTAAGCTACCCTCATTGGGAGGCCGACCAAATGCACCAAGAAGCAGTTCGGAAAATAGGAAGCCTGTGGGGGGAAAAATAAAAAAAAAAAGGGAGAGAGAGTACGGTACCTCTTGGCGCTGGTGGAGAGGAGTTTGGAGTTTTTGCTCATGCTGACTTTACTCTCCTTCTTCTTGGGGGTGTTTGTTTCTTTCTCGGTTTGCTGGTTGGAGGACGAAGATGAGGAGGAGCTGGTGCTGGCCCTCGAATCGTCATCCGACATAGCGAACCCCCCACCCCACCCCGCAAACAGCCTCTGCAGGGGGAGAGAAACAAAACAGAAACACATCAACCATGCAGCCAGTGTAAATACGGAACTCGGGCGCTGTCAGGAGGGCTCTGACCAGGGGTGCACCCGGCCGCCCACCGCCCTCCACTAGCTTTTCAAAGTCTTCAGGCCCATTAAGGCTTTTGCAAGTCGGACGCGGCTTGCTTATTTTTGGCCCCAAGTGGGGGACGCGGTGGGAAAACGGTCAGGAGCACAGCGAGCGGCCCCTCCCTCGCCCCCCGGGGCTCCCCTCGGGGCAGGGAGGGGACAAGCCGAGCGGGCGGGGGAGGAGGGCAGGGCGGGGGCGCGGGCACCTCGGCGGGGCAGGGAGGGAAGGTCCCGGCCAGCGGCCGGCCTCGGGGCTGTTTGTGTCGGCTTTCCGGGGGTCGCGGGGGCCGCGGCCAGGAGCGGAGTTTGGCGAGGTCGGGAAGCGAGGAGGGCAGAGAGGAGTAAGAGAGGAAGCCGAAACGGGGGGACGGAGGCGAGGAGCGGGTGCCCGGGTGGGGGAAGGG